TTAGGGTTTAGGGATTTAGAGGTTTCTGGGATTGGGGTTCAAGGCTCTCTTTTCGGCTGTAGGGTGTCTGGGGATCTAACGGGTGGCAGAGGGAGACCCGGCCTGCCATCGTAGTGCGAAACAAAGGAGGCGCCTATTGAACATGGGTCTGCAACCTAAAAACATCATAAGTCCTAAATAATACTTCCTAAACATATCATAATTCCTAAACATATATAATAACTCCTAAAAAAACATCATAATTCCTAAAAATCCTCTACTAAACCCCAAGCCTGGACTCTAAGGTAATGTCTCCTTGCAATCCTGAGCCCGTAAAGCCCAACAGCGAAACCCCGAAGCAGTCAAACGAGTCAATCCCTGAACCCGAACCTCCTTCGACCTCAACTGTTTGGGCTTATAAGTTCTAGGGACAACTAAACCCAAAAAACCATATTCCAATTATTGAGGTCCCTATAATTAAATTAAAGACCCGTGCCTGCCTGCAACTGCCAGCACACACCTAGGCCCTGATGCCTCAATGGTTCGAATAGGGTCCTTGGGGTATGTTAAAGTTTCGTTACAGCAAGGAACCGAGGAATACTGTAGGTCTCTTGGCTTTGATAAAGCAATTATGCAAGCTCCCATGGAGGGCACATAAAGCTAATCAAGGGAATCACCCCAACACCCCAAACCCAACAACCCCGAACCCTAGACCACGGAGCATCCGGGATGTTGTCCAAAGAGCTTGGGTTTAGGGTGTAAGGGCTGAGGCTTTAGGGCTTATAGGGCTTTCGAAGGGCTTCAGGGTTTATTAAGGGCTTGAATTTCTGCAATGCCGTGGAGATCCCCTGCAACCGCAATCTGGGATGTTCCTAGATTGACCCTTGGCTCGACCACGCCCTGCTTTGTGATTAGATGATGTATTTTGTATGCACAAAACTGCTGACGAACGCTTCATGAGGGTCTTCTATATTGAGCTTCCCAATGGTTGATGTTGGATCTTGTGACCTGAATCTTTGGCTGCAGCGGTTGCGACAAACATCTTGCCTCAATTCCGTTCAAAGCCTCACTCCCACCCACTCTCCCCGTCAGCTGCCAAAGTGACATCCGGGTAACCATCCCCCTAGTCGGCTCAGATCCCCTATCGGATACCCGATACATAAACAGCCCGAAAGCCTTACACCTACCTGGGACTCTAAACCCAAAACTTCCCCAAAGCGCCAAAGACCGAAGAACCCAGGCCCTCAACTCACAACCCTTCTTCAAGGCCGTCCTAAACACTTGTTGCTACTTGTTATGACCTCTGTATATGCCCTATGAGTGCCTAAATAAACTGAAACCCCCATGTGGGTAGTTCTCTAAATTAGGTTCCATTTTTTTATGAAGGTGGCGTACTATCTTGGGGCCCCAAACAGGGACCCTAATTTACGAAAACTTCCCATATGTCAAACCCCTAGGATTCTAGTGTGTCCCAGTTGCGGAGATCTGTGCGAGATCGATCGGTAGCCGTGAGTTCGCTTTGAACACAACAAACGCTCTGAGTCAGCAGAGTAGGCGGAGGGTTTTAGGCTTGAGCGGTTAGGGTGGGATTAGGGTTTAGGGTGGATGTAGGGAGATGTTTCGAGGGCTTACAGGGCCTGGGGTGCTAAGTCCATAGGTTTTCGGGCTTACGGTTTACATGGCTTCACACCTCGACTTGATTGCTTTAGGGTTCGGGGCTTTTCGGTTGCAGGCGACCTCGAAAGAAGGGCTTTTGAGGATCTTCAGGGGCTTTAAAACACCAAAGGGTCCTAGGTACTGTTATGGGGGATACTTTCCCAATCATCATAGTAATTCCTAATATAGAAACCCTACATTCTACTATATAGGCACTTTGGACCCTTTGGGAACTAGAACGGGTATTCTTTTCCACTGTACTCATAATCAGGAACCCCAAAAGAGTATTGGTAAACTCTGGGCCCGTATCTGGGAAGCAGCCCAAGTCCCCGCAAACACTGAAAGAAAGCATAATATCAAAACCGCAACACCGCCAAGTAAACCCCAAACGAGACAATGGCCCAATCTCGGCCGCAAAGCCCTCACCCAGAAATTCGCGCGGTGGGTAGAGGGCCAGTATAGGGTTGAGGCCACTGTCCTGATCCTGGCGTTTCGACCTGGTAGTAGACTAGTAGTAGAGATGTGGGTTTAAGGTTCAGGGATGAATCGCCCTAGTAACCACAGAGACCGCAGCGAGATCAGTTGTAGCGGGTGAAAGGCTCTCCAGATTAGGGTTCTCCTTGCCAGCTGCCTGTCTACTGAGGCAAAGCGCGAAGCCCAGGTTCAGAGCAACCACCGAGCTGCCTCAAAGTGCACTGTTTTGAAAACAGTCGTCGGATTGGTCAGGGGCTCTGCAAAACACTTGTGTCGGAGCACGACAGCAACCAAATGCAGTCGGCTCTGTTCAAGATTGAAACGCGCCTTCGTTGGGAAAGCTGTCTTCAGCTTTGTCTACCGGAGGCATGGCACTGTGGCACGAAACTATATCATTATGTGACTCCTTTGGGCATTTCCCAAAAGTCAGGCAGCTGCGCACTCAAAAGTGGCGAGAAGAAATCTGCGGCCTAGACCCCTTGTAGTGACACTCCGCAGAGTCTTCTGGAATATCGCGAAACAAGTGCGCAGGAGCTCGAGCAAATGGAATCTACCAGGTCACTGGACAGAAAGGTTGCCCGCACGGTCCATGGGCGTCCCTTGGAATCTTTAGTCTTTAGTCATCCCGACTTGGGCGGAAGCTGGGGTCTTTCGAGGAACTAGACTCGTGCTTGTTTGCTTTGGTTACTGCAAAGTTCAGTGACTGGAATTGACTGTTACTTCTTTTTGAGGCCGCATACGCACACAAATTCAACGATCCAAATTCCAGCCAAGTAAGCAAAGGCTCCGTCAACAAGGTAGCCCACGTCGGCCGCATAGATGGATGCGGGCAAAGGCGAACCAGGAGTGTGTGTGTCCGGCTGGATCGTCTCCTGGGAGAGATGGTCCGGGGTTCAACGGTAGGGTTGCCAAACGGCGACGCTTGAATGCAGTGCCAGATATCTTAGCTAGGTTGGCAGGTCTGATGTTGGTAGACAAACACTGGTGTTTGTTTCGTCCCGGTGGAGAGCCAAGTCCTAACCCCGAACCTCAAACTCTTTCGAGCATCCCTTCCACTAAACCCCTATAAACCCTAACTAAACCCTAAACCGCATCCCTTCCACAGAGATTCTTAAAATTTTAATTCTGACAGAACTCATGGGCTCTCGGTCGGCCCCCTCAGGGTGCTGAAGACTTCGGAGTTGAACCCAGACAACCCAAAAGCCCGGTAAATTTAGGGTTGAGGGTTTAGGGTATAGAGTTTAGGGTTTAGGCTTTATAGGGTTTAGGAATATTCATGTTCCTTAAAGCACAACATTACAATCCCTCTCAAGCTTGAGGCTTTTAGGGGCTTGAAGGGTCCTCCTGTTCCTAGCTTGCAAGCTTTGGGGATCGGTGGGAAATGACGAAGGTCGAAGCCTGGATCCTTCGCACAGTCCAACCACATCCTAAGACCGAAGCCCACGAAGCAAGAAAACAAGCGTCAAGGGCGAATATTAACATATGAAGCAAACCTCACTTTAGAAGCCCCTCGAAGTGGAACCTGAACCCTAAGAACGAACCCCGAACAAGTGACGAAACATGTGTAATGCACAAAAAGACGTACAAAATCACCCTACAAGCCCTGCATCAGCCGGAAAACAACATAGCTGAGCGGCCGGATGGTTGATGGCGTTGCCAGCACGGTTGAGCGGCGTGCCGTCTGGGAGGTAGCCGACGGAATTCACGAAGATGGCACGGGGCAGTGGAGATCCGGGAGCATGGCTGTCGGGTCCAATGTTCTCGGGATGGTTGATGGCGTTCCCAGCTCGATTCAGCGGGGTGCCGTCTGGGAGGTAGCCCACATCGTTGCAGAACTCCTGGTCGGCATACGCGTCCTTCTGGAAGCTGTACTCGAACTTGCGGCCGTGCATGGCGGTTCCT